TTGATAATACTGATAAAGATAGTTTCTCTTTCATATAATGTGTCACTGAAAAATCTTCGTAAGTTCTAAAATTGATCAGACACTACATAATCCCATTACCTCGGCTATAGCATGACAATCAAATGTTGCTGACTAGAGGCACAAATGTCAGAGCTGGTGGGACATCTAAGATAATAAAAGCCAACTTCCTTGTATTACGAAGGCTGTGTATCTCCATGGGTATCGTCTGTGAAGTGCTCAGCACAGATCTTGGCACCAGGAAACTCTTGATACGGTTCTTGCTTGAGCTCACAAAGCTCCTAGCAAGGACCACCTTCAACTCCAAGGTGTCGTCCAGTGCTGTGTACCTCTGGCACTTTTTCCATCACTCATATCACCATCTGATGAATCCAGTGTATTTGTGGATTTGCTATTGTTTACCTCCCACCACTAGAATGGCGACTCTACAACAGCAAAGACTGTGCCTCCCCACCGTATTCCCTGCATCCCTAGGATAAGTGCAGAAAGTCATTGAATGAAAGAATACATTCAGAGACTCCAGATAAACAGGCAAAAGAATGGAGAAAGAAAAGGAAAATAAGCGTTTATGGAACTCTCACATTCTGTTGTTGTTTTCTGAGTTTGTTGTTTGAGAAACGATCTTGCTGTGAACTCCAGGCTGGCCTCAAACTCGCTATCCTCCTATGTCATCCTGCCTCGTGCTATGATCATAGGCATGCACCACCAGGAACACTTGTTTTTCTTAGAGGTTTACGCATATTGTATATGTAAAGCAATGTTCACATTAGCCTTATAGTAAAAAAAAGCATTATTATTCCCTTTTAATGGTGAAGAAAGTGGGGCTCAGAAATTTTGGTAACTTCAGAAGTTCATGCTCTTTTTGCTACCACAGTGGCTCCTCATTAGATCATCTAAGAATTTTCTTAGAAAATGTCTGGAGATGTAGCTCAGTAGTAATTGCCTTGCATGCGTGAGATCCCTGGGTTTAATTCTAAGTACTTCCAAAGAACCTTCATGGACAGCATTTTCATTTTAAATCTCAATTGGCCCCGTGGTATATTTTTCATGATTCAAAAAATTTTTTTGATTTTTTTTTTTTGATTCCTCAAAATTAAATCCTTGAAACAATGCATTTTATAGCAAGGCCAAGGCAACCCACTGTTGGGAGGCAGCTTTGACTGACAAATACCGACCTAGATTTGGACTTGGAAGACTGGAGCCTGGAGCCTGGTTATTGATTACTAGAGATGTAAATCTTAGTTCCTCATTCATAAAATAGTAATGTTAACAAGTGCCTGTCTACCTGATAGAGTTAATAAGAGATAATGTACAGAGCTCAGTATGATAGCACATCCCTGTAATCTCAGCACTTGGGAGGCTGAGGCAGGAGGACTGCATTAGTTCAAGTCCAGTCTTGGCTCCTTAGCAAGACCCTGTCAAAATAAAATAAAAGGCATTGAGCTTTTATTCAAAGAAAGTGTTCATAAAATGTGATCCACAATTATTATTTCATTAGTATTATAATAGTAATAATACTTACCTCAGAAGAGACACTGCAAGCATGTGTCTTGTATGTGGTCCTGCCTACAGATACAGTTAGGGAGCTGGAATCATGGTTTGATTCTATGAGTGCCCAAATTTTCCGTTCCATATCCACAGACTACTCAAATACACCTCACTGAGGCTTGTGTTTGGTCAGTGAAAGGAACTTGGCTTAAAGGAGTGGATGGATTAGGTCAACCCATTGCCACTTGCGGAAAAAATAATGAATAATAGTAGTACCAGTAGTTTTATGATGCCTTTTGCATTTTCTGCGTATTCCCTTAAGCTCAGTTCCTCTCACGCCTTTGAGAAGTAATATGCTCTGCGGAAGCAGCTCCACTTGCCTTCCCTTGCGCTCCCTCTGTGTGTCTTCAGCTGTGAATTGGAGCACTAGCAGTTCACGACTCAGTTTTCTCTCCCATGTTACTCTCTTGAAGGAACTATTGTTTACTGGATGTCTGCCAAAAACAAAGCCCTTTCACATCCCTTATTTCATTTAGTTCTCACCTGACATTCAAAAGAAACTTGTTCAGGGCCACAGAGATAACAAGTGGTAGAACCGAGATACAAGTTCAGGCTTTTGCTTTCCAAATATCTGCTTTATCTTGGACACTACCACACCCCTCATCTGTCAGTTGACAGCCCCGGGGCTGATGGTATCATTATTAGGGAAATACACTTTACATGCTTCGGGGGATATGTACCTGCCTCTATCAAGCAACTTTTAAAGCCATGTATGGTGATTCGCATCTACCCCAGAGCTACTTGGGAAGTTGAGGCAGAAGGTTTGCTTGAGGCCAGGTGTTGAAGACCAACCTGGGCAACACGGTAAGATTCCGTCTCCAAAACAAACAAACAAAGCTTTTTTCTTTTTTTTTCTGTTTTTTCCCCCCATATCAGGAATTGAACTAACGACCTTGCTCTTGCCAGGCAGGCGCTGTGCCACTGAGCTAACTCCCCAGCCCCCAAAACAAAGCTTTTTAAAAAGAAAATTTTTAATTAAAAAGGGGCTGGGGATGTAGAACAGTATGAAAGCACTGAGTTCAGTCCCCACTACTACAAAAAGGGTATATTTCTGGACTTTTATCTGTTATATGGAATTGTTTAAAATAGTACCCAAAGCCCAGTGGGGTTGGGGATGTAGTTCAATGGTAGAACACTTAACTAATAGTTGCAAGGCTCTGCGTTTGATCCCACCATTGAAAATAAAGAGAAAAAAAGGACCCAGCATCATAAAACTACTGGTACTACTATTATTCGTTATTTTTTTCCGAAAGTGGCAATGGGTTGACCTAATCCATCCACTCCTTTAAGTTGAGTTTGATGCAACAGTATTGCATTCACCTTAACAGAAGAGCAGAATAAAGTGAAACTTCTGATACCGAATCCCTGACCACTGGACTTTGTTTGCGTCAGTGCCTTTTCTCCTCCCAGTGAAAGGATGGCCTGAGTTTGGGGCTATTCCTCACCACCATTCCTGTTTCCATTAGGTTTCACAGCTGAAAAGTTACTCTGGGCCAGTAGTTATCAAACCTGTTGTGCATGAGGATCGCTCTGCGGGCTGCTAAGCACAGGCCACTGGCCTCATCTCCAGTCTGAGTCAGTAGATGGAGGAGGGGCCTTGGATTTGCATCTTTGTGCCCAGTTACACTGCCCCTGCTGGCCTGGGAACCTCCTGATACCCAGTGAGTGCCCTAGTAGAGCAGAAGTCAGCAAGCTTCTGCTAAGATACCTGATGGTCAGTATTTTAGGCTTTGTGGGCTGCACCTCTGTCATTACGGGACGCGACCACTGCAGCTCAGAATCTTCTGTAATTGTCAGCAAATGAGGGGAGCTATAGGCCCCAAGGTTTGAAATTCATATAAGTCTTTGTGTTATAAAATACTGTTTTTCTTTTTTTTTTTTTACTTGTTTGTTTTGTTTTGTTTTGTTTTGTTTTGTTTTGTTTTGTTTTGTTTTGTTTTGTTCCAACCATTTGTAAATGTTAAAAACCCTTTTGAAGCCTTGAGCTGTTTTAAAAAAAAGATTTGGCCTTTGGGCTATAGTTTGCCAACCCCTACCATATTGTGGTGACCTATTGGAGATTTTTTTAAACTGTTGTCTTCATGGTAACAGGAATGCAAGAGGATGGTTTAAAAGGCCTACTAGTGTTGAAGAAAATGCAATGAAGCCAAGCATGGTGATGGATGTGTAATCCCAGTCCTCGGGAGGCTGAGGCAGGAGAATTGCCAGGGAGTTTAAAGCCATCCTGGGCTACACAGTGAGCTCAAGATCAGCCTGAAACCACATAGTGAGACTCTGTCTCAAGAAAACCAAAGAAAGAAAGGGGGGGGGGGGAGAGAAAAAAAAGAAGGAAGGAAAAAAGGAAAGAAGGAAGGAAGGAAGATGGATGCAATAAATCAAAAAGGCTTCCTCCACCCCTAATCACATGCTCCAGCAAGAACCATTATGGGTGAATATTAATTTCCAGAAATTTTATAGGCATATATAAGCTTATATATATAAATATACAAATTCTTTTTACATTAATGGGCTTCTTATGCATATTGTTTAGCACTTGCTTTTTTTCTTAACAATATCTTATGATATCTTTTATCGATAAAGAGATGACTTAGTTTTCTTTTTTTTTTTATGGCCCCAGTTTTCTGCTGTGTAGATATACTAGAATATATTTAACCAGTCCCCTGTCAGTGTTTCTCCCTTGCACCTACTTAGATTGTTTCCTATTTTTTTCTACCCAAACAGTGCTTCAGTGAGGGTATGTCTTTGTACATTCACAATGCATAATATCCATGGGATATAGTCCAAGGAGATAAGTCACTGCATCTGAAAACTGTGCAGTTAGAATTTGATAGATATTTCTAAATCTCTGTTGTAAATACTTTAGGACCCTGTGTTTGGTTTCTTTCAGAGTTATGGCCACATTTTTGCTATTTGGTCTTTATCTGGCTTGAGCATTCATTGCAATGAATTTTAATATAATGCCTTGATACACATGAACTTAACACACAGTAGTAATCCTATGGGGGGCAAAAGTGCAGCTGGAAATTTATCCATGATTCTTGAAAGGAAAACGGTTTTAAAGTGTATAAAGCCATCAAAATAGTACCTTAAATTCTGAGGTTATCCTGGACATAGTCGCATAAGGTACCACAGCAGGAATTGTTCTTTTTATAACCCGAGTGCTTAGCAGATGTTTCTATATGTTTGTTTCCCCTTAGAGTAGAGCTTTCCATTGTCAGACATTTATGTAAACATAGCATTAGCTATTACGCTGTGCTACTATTGTACTAAGACCCAGAATACTCCTGTTTTCCTTTCTGTTTGGAGCTTTTCCTTTTTGAGTCAATAAAGGATTAGAATAATGATTTAATAGTGCAACACCTTCAAGTGCAATACTGTATTAGTTTTTCTTTTCTTTTTTTTTTAACTTAAAATACATCTATTTCTGCTCGTAGGCTGTCGTAGAATTTTCTCTTCACCATTCAATCATATCTCCTTACACAAGCAGTCCAGCAGTCAACAAAGAAGAAATTTCTTTTTCTGGAGACAAAGAGATACTTCACACAGTATAGTTTTGCCGGCTGTAGTTTCTTCAGCGCATCCTGTCCCAGAGGTATTGTATTGCTTGTTATCTGCTACTTTTTCCAGCCAAGATAAAGGTTGACTGCAGAAATGATAAATGTTTTTGTATCTTTGATTTCTGAGCCATTGGAGTCATAATTTTAAAACTTGATTTGTGATTTGAAATTGTAACATAAGTTTTAACATGCTGCAGTTCTAGAACATTAATTTTTAAAAGTAAAACTCTGAGCACACAACGGCTTAGCTTATTTAAAATTTAAATTTTTGCCATGGAAAAAGATAAATAAATAAGTAAATTTTTGCCATGGAATTTCCTACGCTGTTTCTATCATGAAAATAAAATTACACATATATAGTTTCCTAACTGTTTTAGAGGAAAAGAATGAGTATAAAATCGTGATGGTTCGAGGGAGATTCCTTGAAACTAACACAGCAGATGTTTTTATTAAGCCTGCACTTCTACTAGCCATGTTACTAATGCTGCAGTGTTTGAGTAGCCCTCTGGAGTGAATTAAATGTAACATCTTATCTCAGAGTATTTTTTATACAAAGATTTCAGTTCTGTGTAAGAACAATTTCTGCATTTTTCAAAATGTAATATAAAGGAGATTTCTGAGTCATTTAGGAAAAAAGGAGGATAGCTGAAAAAAATATAGAGATTTGTCATAAAAACCATTTGCTTTCTCCCCTTTACAACTTTTGTTGTTGTTCTCGTTGTATTACAGTGAGTCTACATTACGAATGTTATACCACCTGAAGTTTTGTAGCCCATTTTTGTGGCAAGGGCTCACAAGACAGAGGATATTCCTGCCTTGACTGAGGTCTGACCATCGTAGATAGAGCCAGCATTTAGTATTAGTCACAAAATTGACATTCTTTTTCCTTGGTAGAAAAGAAAAAGAAATCTTGGGATAGGTGAATGTATTGCTTTAGACATTTCAGTCACTTGCAGTGGCACCACAATAGCCTCTCTGCCTATAGTTGTGACCTCACCAGATCACAGAGCAGAGGTAAGACAAGAAAATAGACCATGTGGGGGAGACCCAGTGAGCCTTGGGCATTGGTGGGGTGGCTGTAGGAGAGCAGATGCTCCTCCAGAGCTCAGCTGCAGCAAACCGAACAATGCTTTTACCTCTGGAAAGCCCCTCTGCACAGGAAAAACCAGCATGACACTCTTCACAAAGAGAAGAGCCCCAGCCTCAGTCCTTCCAGAGATACATGATGTTGCCCTTGAATGGTGTGACCTTTGTTAGCTTCCTGTCCCAAGCTGCTGTGTTCTGTTCAACAGTGCGTATGTACAGTTGCTATGAATAAATTATTAAGGGCTCTGCAAGCCTTGGGCCTGAAAGCACTGTGTGTAAGGTGGTATTTTTGTGCATACTACCAATGGGTTTGAGGAAGTGGTAGAGGATGCTCTGCAAAAGTGATCAGGTTTGAATGCTTTGAGTTAAGGGGCTATTGTTCTTAACAAATGATGGATATGTTCTAAGTAATTTTTATGTACTTGGGGGAAAAAAGAAAAGAATGCTGCTTGGTTTTATCTTCTAGCACTGAGTTTGAGTAGGGTTTCCAAGTATAAGGAAAGTGTATGCCTAAGAGGCTGCTTGCCCTTGACAGTCAGTGTATTCTTTGGAAGATGGTATGAGGAGCCATCTTTTGCTTAAATTTTATCTTTGTGTTGAGAAGATGAAAGTCCCTCTTAATTAATTATTTGGCAGGTTGGAAGTTTGGCAGTATTTTTCAGTGGTGATATGCTTCCAACAGGGTTGGAGGCAGAGGAAAGAAAAACCACTGTTTGTTTTGACCAGAAATCTACTTCAGTCCAGTTTGACTCAGAGCATGGTGAGGTTAACAGACCATCCAGAGGCAGCAGTAACAGGCAATGTTAAGTTCAAAAGGGCAGGGGAAGGAACTGGGGGCAGCCTGGAGGGTCTGTTGTGCTGGCTTCGGAGGTCGGTGCTCCGGCAGGAAGGGCAGAGCTCCATGAAGCAGGAGGCTGTGTCCGAAAAAATGATCCCATTGTCATGCGCTGGGTTCTGATCTTCATTTTCAATCCTTTTTCCTCAAGCATATAAAGAAGCCAGACTATGTGACGACAGGCATTGTACCCGGCTGGGGAGACAGCATAGAAGTTAAGAATGAAGATCAGATTCAAGGGCTTCGTCAGGCTTGTCAGCTGGCCCGTCATGTCCTCCTCCTGGCTGGGAAGAGTTTAAAGGTGGCGTCTCACCAAGTCTGAGTGACTTACATAAGGGGCAACAAACACTCTTTCTTTCTCTTTTTCCTTAATTCTTCTTTTGTATACATGTAATTTTTTTTAATATGTCTAATTTGTTAAAAAAAAAAAAAAAGTAAAGCGTTGGAATAGGAAAAAGGGATTTATTATTTTATGTGTGCATTCTAGAGGTAATTTGAAAACCCAAATCCATTTTTAACTAGCATCATTCTGGAGGCATTTTGGGATAACTCACCCTATCCAAGTTGATCAGTGGCAGATGGCTTTGACTGTTGGCCCCCACTCCTGCCTAGAGTTTCTATTCTGTTTCCCACACTTTTTTCCTGTGTGCCTGGAGCTACTCGGTCTTATATTTTGCCTCCTTTTTTTTATTTTTGCATTATCTCTGTAAAGAAAGATCAGACCAGATACACAAAACTAGTGGTAATATGTAAATATAATTATATACAGCCAACTTACTACAAATCTTTTATAATAATTAGAAATGCCTGCTCTATAAAGATCATAAAAGAAAATATCAATAGTGTCCTAAAAGTGGGAAAAATTCTGGAAGTGAGACTCAAGGATGAAGTCGCTTATTAATGAAAGATTTCACTTTTATTTTAGAATCTTATATCATGGAGATAGCCTTCACATGCTTATAAAACGCAGTCTCAGGGGCTTGTGATGTAGCTGAGTATCAGAGTGCTCCCTTAGCATGGATGAAGCCCTGGGTTCAAGTCTTAGTATCACAAAAACACACACATATAAATTGAACTTCAGTTTCCACTGTTTGGAAACAGTTGGATACCTTCTGGTAAGGGAAAATTGTGTAAACATTTATTTAGGCATGAAAGAAACCAAGATTAGCGAAAATCAGATCTCTATAAAATATATCAGACTAAGTTTTTAAAATGATGACCCATAATCTCCATGCCATTGCTGCAAAACCCATGTAGTGTTTCCCTAAAGTAAAAAGGTGTGAGTTGACCTACTTTTCCAGCCTTGGTGTCTAAACACCAAGATCCTTTTGAGCACTTACCTATATTTTTTCATTAGCTAGGGCACTACCCTTGAGGAAAGTGATGTAACTACTACAGGCCACATTGTTGAAATCTTCAGGCCAAATAGGAGTCATTTCATTTAACGACTCACAAATGATTTAGAGGATCCTAGAGTTGAAATTTTCTGTTTCCTAGTAGTTCATGACACCATCCTATACCCAAATAATCATTAAAAAATCCCAATTAAGCATGCTAACATTAGTCATAATTAATTAAAGTGTTATACCTTATGTTTATCATAGTAATTTTATACTGTCTCACACTGGAGTACTGTGGCTAAAGGCATAGTCAGTAAATACAGGAAATGTCTTCAACTGTCACCACAATTTCTTTTTTGAATATTTTAGGTTGACATGACAACTGAAGAGATAGATGCTCTTGTTCATCAGGAAATCATCAGTCATAATGCCTATCCCTCACCTCTAGGCTATGGAGGCTTTCCAAAATCTGTTTGTACCTCTGTAAACAACGTGCTGTGTCATGGTATTCCTGACAGGTATTCATTCTTAATAACATATTATTCCTTTGGAAACTAAAACATGAAACTAAGATTTATAACTTATGTTGAAAGACACAATAGTTCATTGAAAGCCACCTACAAGCTTCTGAAGTTGATAATGATAAAACAAAAATTTGGAAGTATTGTACTGCTAAATGGATATAATGTCACCATCTAATATTTGTTAAAGCAGTATGTGATCTACAAAAGTAGTTATGCCTTCACTCTTTCTTTTACCTTCTTCAGTTTTTACCACATACATAAGAATATAATGTAGGCAAATTTTTATTATCAACTATTGTTTTCATTCTTTACAAAATTAAGGTAACTGATAAGTATATCATTTTAAACAGTTAATTTTTAAACAGTGGCAATGTGTTCACTTTATGTATTTCTTATAAAATTTGCTGTGACTAACATAGTTATTACATTTATTCCTTCTTTATTTGAAATTATCACTGTGACTCATTGATTTTGTGATAGTAATCATTAGGTATTTATTTTTATATTCCTTTTATTAAGATCTGTCTATCACCTTTTTTTTTCTGTTTGGGTTTCAGTCGACCTCTTCAGGATGGAGATATTATCAACATTGATGTCACGGTGAGTAAATCATATGAAAAAATAGTCTTTGATCAACTTCAGAATCGCTAGTAGCAACGGGAAGAAGAGTGGATTGAAAATGTGAACTGCACCGGTAGAAGTGCTGTTTACTTCTAGCCCCAGACGCAAGCAGCTGGTTTCCTTTTTTGTCTTTAACTCTGTGTTTATTCCAAGTAAACCCAGGCCTGACTTGAATTTGGGGCTAGAATCAGATGCACTGAGATCAATGTTGGCCTAAGTGAAATGTCAACCCAATCCTGCTATGTGTCATGTTTTTGAGAAGGTGTAATTGTTATTGATCCACTGTGTAGTTAATGCAGAGCACCACAGCACTGGGCAGCTGCTGAAGCTAGATATGTATGAGATGAGCTAACACGAAGAAAGCCAGCATTTTTCCTTCACTCTGCCAAGATTGATCTTCCTCTTCCTGCTGATTTTGAGTGGGGCCTGTCATTATCTTACTCTGTCATTAGGGGCTACATTGGCCTGTGTGTCAGTCTATTTGGACAGCAACTCTTTTGCTAGCAGTGTTCCCTAGATTTATTAAAATCCCTGAAGGTAACGTTATGTTCCATTTCTGGTATAGAGAGTCTCAAGCTCAAAGCATATAAGTAGAGTGGCTTTCTCTGTGGCCTTAAGTTTTCACTAAATGGTTGATAATCTTTTTGAAATAACAAACTTGAGTAATTTAACAGAGAGCCCTCAAACTGTAGATGTGGTAACCTTTTCTAATTTTCTTAACTCTTCACCATTCTCAGATTTGGAATATTTGTGCTCATTTTATTTTAATAAATAAGTTTTTAAGTAAAATTTAAATATATGATGAGAATTAGTTGAGATGGATAACACTCAAGGAATATAGTTCCTATTAATGAAGAAATTTGTCCTGTTTTGTTTTTTGAGGCAGGGTCTTGTTATGTAGTTCAAGCTGGCCTTAAACTTACTATGTAGCCCAGGCTGGGCTAGAACTGATAGTGATCCCTGCCTCACCGTCTCAGATGCTGGGATTACAGGTATGTGCCACCATGCCTGCCTAAGGAGGAAGCATTTTTACTACTAGTTATTTGATATTCAGACCATGAAACTTAGCTAAGAGTGTGAATGAGATGAAAATCTAATGAGATAGGCTCCAACAGATGAATTCTGTCAGATTTTTAGTTGTTCAAGTTTCTTCATACCAATTTATACATGGATAGAACCAACACTCCTTTTATTGCTCACTATTTTCTATATCCTACTTAGAGTACTTTCTTTTATCTTATTAGAATACTTGAATATTTGCTCCACATATCCTGTTGGTATCTTTCCAAGTCAGAATCATATAGGAAGAATTTTATGAAGCATACCTAAAATAAAATGTTTCTCATAATGTAGGTTTTATTTTGGATTGAACCTGATTTTATGGTTTTACATTTATTTTTTCACCTAAGCACCCTCTAACAAATTTTTTTTTCTAACAAAATATTACTGTCTGAATGAAATCAGCATATTCTTCTGTTTCCAGTGTGTCCAAATGGAATACTTTTTTCCTTGTCAAAGTTCCTAAAGACTTTTAATAAGTAATTTCAGTGTTAAAATTTATATTATCCTAATAATTATGAAGCTCATAAGTACAGTGATATACTTTCAAATATCTAAAATAAGTATCTAGACATGTAAAGGAGTCTAGGAAACAGGTCAGTATCTTAAATTATATTTCTTATGAAATATTTTATTCAGTAAAGAACTCCCTTACTATGTTCTATACTTTTATCAGGAAGTACTTAAATTGAATTTTATAGTTGTTTATATCTGCTGTGTTTCACAAAGGGATAGATTTCTCTTTCTCTTGAAGGTTGAATTTTCTTTAAAAAAGACAATGGGATGCTCTTAGTGGTAGCACAATAAATATTTGTTAAGTAAATGAAGTAAAAACAAGAATAGTTTGTGGATAAAAACAGTACTTATAGATGAGTACCACAGACTTTCAAAAGTATTGTATTTCCATATATATTGAATCTTTCAGGTATTCATCTTGAAAGCCAGCAAAAAGTTATATGACTGGTGGAACATGCCTGTAATCCCAGCTACAAGGGAGACTACGGCAGGAGGATTTCAAGTTCAAGCCCAGCCTAGGCAGTTTAGCAATTTAGCAAGACCCTGTCTTAAAATAAAAATAAAAGAGGGCCAGGGATGTAGCTCAAAGGGAAGACTCTGAGTTCAACCCTCAGTACTGCAAACAAACAAAAAAGTAATATGAAAAAGCAGATCGTAATTTAAAAAGTAATACATTTGTACTTTTAAAAACTATAGTTTACAGTTAAAAAGTTTCTTGAAGAGTTGTATTAGAAAATTTCATATTCTTTCATATAAAATTAGAGTTTGCATTTTCCTAGATTGCAGAGGACCATAAATGGAATAAGTGTATAAAACACTGCTCTATTGCAGAGTAATTGAGATAATTTATACAGTAGTGAAAACACTTGATTAGAAACTAAGAATCCATCACATTCATCTTGGTTACCTCTGTGTTCTATCACTAATCCCAGACAATTTACCTGCCTGTACCTCAATTTCCTGAAGATTTTTATTAAGACATTTCTTACTTCATGGAGTATAAGAAAGCATTTAAGATGCAGAATAGTATACAGATTGAAGATAGTCATTATTAGGACACAAAGTGAAGATAAATATCTTTTTATAAGTTTCTTCATTCTACTTTATGAGAAAGAAAACTGTGAAAAATAATTAGGAAAAATTTGTGCAAAATAATAAATACTGTGCTGCGTTCAGGGATCAATATTCAGCCCATCTCCTCCAGCTTCTATATTTACTACAGGGTTTGGTCATCATTGACTTTTTTTTGTAATGAAAGTTGTGTCTTTCAAGACTCTGAAGGACTTCTAAATCCTTGAAGACTGATAAGATTATATTTTCTATAATTTTACTCATCAATTTGTTTTGTTATATTCTAATTCTTTAAAAATCCCCTTAGAGTGTTTCCTGTTGACATTCTGCTATCTGGAACATTAGTTAAGATTTCACTTCCTCACATAGGATTTCTCTATAGCTTGTTTCATTCCTACTTTGATATGTTTTATTTCTTAGAACTACATTCTCCTATCATCCGTTATAATACCAACGTTTCTTTCTTATTTATTCTTGTCATTATTTATTACTTCCAAGTATAGAACCAGAAATAAAAGATAACATAAGTCTTCATGACACTGAAGAAGATTTGTAACATGCTAAATACCTGTTAGTTTTTTAAATCTATTTTGGCAATTGTGTAGGTCAATATATTTGGTCACTGTTTTTACATGTATAGTTTTGCCTTCTGAAATAAAATAAGGAAACAAAATGTTACAGTAGCATTATTAATCAGAATGTTGAATCAACCATTCTAGACATTTGTTTTTCAGATTTCTATAATATCATTATATAGCTTCGTCTTCTTAATTTCTGTAAGGTTATAGTATATCTGTTTTTTCTTTTTTTATATAAGGCAGACGAGAATAATTCTGAAAGGGTAATATACATGAATTTTCTGAACACAGAAGTGAACGCTGTACTTTGGGAGAATAGATTTTTTTTTTTGAGAATAGATTTTTTTCAGCAAGGATATATTTTAAAACTTCTGCCTATGTTTAGGTCTATTACAATGGCTACCATGGCGACACCTCTGAAACATTTTTGGTGGGCAATGTGGATGAATGTGGTAAAAAGTTGGTGGAAGTTGCCAGGAGGTGTAGAGATGAAGCAATTGCAGCTTGCAGGGCAGGGGCCCCTTTCTCTGTAATTGGAAACACAATCAGGTAAGCTTTACACTGACAAGTAAAGGGAGGGTTGGCAAGTGGTACAGAGGTTATTGGTGGCTTGGTATAAGGTTGATGACATGTTTTGTGATTCAGAACCATCATTTCAGTCTGATATCCGTATGTGAACTGCCAAGCTGCAATATTGTTCCCTGGGTTGAAAAAAAAACCCAGGGTTTTAAAAAAGTAAATTAAACCAGGGTCAGCAAAGAAACTTACTGGAGCAGCACACAATATTTCTGTCTGCTTTTGTTCTAGCTTGATGTATTGGTCTGCATGTAGTTCACTGACTCAAAAATCACACCAAATACAGAAAAAAGTGCCTACGAAGGGCTGAGCATCCTAATCCTTGAATAATGAGAAAGGAGAAAAGCTGAAACTTAGGGAGGAGTGAAGTGAAACATATTCCTATGACTGAAAAATGAAAAATGTTAACTTAAGAAAGCCTTACCTTTCAAGTTAGTAAATTAGCGAATATCCTGAAAGAGTGCTCTTCTGTCCTGTTTTTGCCTGATTCATTTTTCCTGTAGCCCCCTGTATATTTTCCCCACAGTGCTCCATGCTTGCTTTTGGAGTGGATGTGTGTTTTCTGAATTTAGTTTTCTTTGTAGGCTGCTACCTACTTTGAGGTCTTTCTCCCCCTTAACTGTTTTGAAGTAGACACGCAGAATATGTGTTTGCATTTAAAAGTGCTGCATTTTGTTAAAGATGATCACGTTCGCCCCCCCAACACAAGTACTGTTCTCATTAATATGAACCATTGAACACTTCCCATCCGTCTAAAGGATGGAAGGCTGCGTCACCTTGAAAGGATGCGGCCTTTTCCCTCCAAACACCTCCAAATACTTTAAGGAAAAAGGCAGTAAAATATCAGTTAAATGTATTTATGGCTTTAAAAATATTGTAACAGTGTCTGAATCAAACTTTAGTAAAATCTCTTTGGGTTATATCTGAGAAGCTTTTATTGAGGACTTTGAACAAAATTGTGTTTTTGACAGTTTTAAATTATAGGCTAACTAGCCTGGGAAAAAAGGATAGTGTCTCTCTGTTCTTTCATAGGAAATGTTGAATCAGACCCCTACTGGGAAAAGAAATTTAATGCATATCTCACTATCTTACTGTCCATGAATATAATAGAAATGAATTCAAAATGCAGTTTTATTTTTGCAAATGGGATGAGTCGATAGATGCACCTCATATTTTTGAACACCTAGGGTTCAACAAATTTACTGGTGGTGCGCTTGCATTTTAACAAAATTTATTCTCCAGTAGAAGGGGGCAGAGAACACTAGATTCTTATTCAAGCCTTCTATCGAGCTCTGCATTCATGGCTGTGTCTAAAGGGCATGTCAGCCTTTGATTCTCTCTGAGAGGTAATTATCCTTTTCCTGTCACGGAACAACAAATGATAGCTAACTACAGAGGCACATTTGCAGTAGTCACATTCATCAACTGCAGAAAAAAAATTCAATTTAATTGTGCAACACAGCTGCACATGGGCTTTTGAGCATTTCTGTTGTTCTCCCTGTCTCGCTATTCCTCCCTCCAGATCTATTTTTTAAACTTTTTTTCTGGTTATTTTTTCCCCTTTTTGTCTCTTCTTCCATTTTTACTCTCTGTACTTTCTTGTTAAAGTAATTTTCCTTTGTGGCTCTCATTCTTTTTTCCCCATTGAAGGCTATGAATGTAGAAAATTATCACAATTACTCATATAATTGAGCCTCTTTGTAGCAAGTGCAACTCCAGTAGCCTTTCTCCATCATGAAAATGGTTTCATTATAGGGTTTTTCATATTCTCTGACACCATCTACACAGAGGAACAGGCGTGCAGATGAGATGTACTAGGAACAGGCTAGATCAGTAAGGTCACAGTGGGAATAATTAGCTCTGCTATGGAAAGAGCATCTAGGCCTTTTACTGCTACATAAATGTACTGTCCGTGGCTTTTAGTCACAAAAAAAACTTACTAACAAATGGAGCTCCCGCCTACTACTTTGAAAAAAAGATTTGTATCAACACTACAATTTTCCATCATTAAGACTAATAACACAGAGCCTAGTATACATCAAGGGGAATAAAAAGAAAAATCTCACATTCAAGTGGTGGCTGGGTGCTGACCTTTGTTCCCTTTTTTTGTGTACGACTTAACTCTTTACAAAAAAGAGCCACACGCCACACCAACATGCAGGTGAACTCCAGCTAGTACTAGCAAAGCATAGCATTCAGTTGGAAAATCTGATAAATCTCCATGCAGGATAATGCATTTCATTACATATTCACTACATTAATTCTAGCTACATTAAAAAAAGAAGAAGATGATGATGAAGAAGAGTAGAATTGAAAATGACATTGGATTTTAGCTATCTGGGTACAAAGGTCAGTTTTTGCAGAGTATGAATTTGCATGTGCAAGCTCCTTTGAAAACCAGATCAGCCCCAACAACTGCACTTACAAAACTATGTGGAAAATAACAGACAATGAACTTTTTACTTTTACCCTAATGCATTTCATTATTTAGATGGTTTATGTCTGCCCGCAGGAAAGGAGACTGGCCTCGATTCTAACAAATGTTTGTTCTGATGTCTTAAAGCAGTATTTCTGGCCGTCCATTATTTTGCCTTTTCGTATTTAGACAAAATCTTAAGGGAATAAATAAACAAATGATAATCACCTTTGAGCCAGAAGTACTTAAAATCGTTATAGACCAAAGGTTTCCAAACATTTTTCATAGCGGTCTCATTTATTTTAAGGTATTAACCATGTTTACATAGCCTCCTTCTACTGGTACAAGAGCGTTGAAGCATCTTGTATTAATATTATATTACCCCAAAATTGAGAGCCCTATAGGAAATTTTGAAATCCTCCTCTAAAACCTAAAGAATAGGATCAAGTTTCTAAAGAAATATCAGCTAGAATGATTTCATGAAAAGAGTTCTCGCTTTGCTCTGTGAGGGATGCCTAGTGATCTTCAGGCCATAGTGTTCTTAATCTCACTATACCTCCATTTGCTTCCAAATATTCCTAAATCCGTATTTTTATAATTATGTCTCTAGTATCTGTATGAGAATATCATGAGTGTATAGATTCATGCACCACAAATATATGACAGTTCAATCAAAAAATAACCTAATGTCATGATGAAAGTATCAATAAATGTTTTTTAATGTTTAATTCATAAGTGTATATTTTGATATTAATTTAGAACAATATAAAGCGGATTTTTTAAAAAAATAATCTCTTTCTATTAGATTATGCACATTTAAACAATAAGTGGCTCAGGCAAAATAAGTCATTTTAATGTCATCTGTGATGGATTTTTCTTGACAGCTACTGTAAATTACAATTACACTGCTTCTCTCTGCACATGAAAGTAAGCATTGCCATAAATTATCTTTTATTTCAATCCATCATGTCTGCTTTTCAGAAACAGAAAACCTCAAATAAAAGTTCAGCACTATTGTAAGAAAATACAGTAATTTGTGATCCAGTTTGAAACAAAAAAATGTACCACTCTTCTGGAAAACAGTTGTTGGCTTTCAAAAATATTACTAATTGTACTTAAACATTCCTGTCATTAGAGGGAATCCCTGGATTTGTGCATTCCTTCATTCAGACACTACTGCTTAAATTAAAAATCTAAAAAGATTAAGGTGTAATTCAAAACATATCAAATCATGTGCCATGTGAGATCCTTTATTAGAAAGATATGACCCTTTGGAGGTTAGTTTTGCTTTATAGGATTCATATAAAAATGGTAATAGTATTTCCATGTGCTTTTTGATTTCTCTGTAAGAGCATGTACTTAAACATAGTACTGCTCTGCCCTCTTGGGGAATGTACTTTTAGGCATAAAAGTAGTTGAAATATATTAAGAAATTTCACTTCTCTAGACAGCACTTCAGTGGAGTCCAGCTGCCTCAAGAAAGGGAATAAACCAAAGAAAATGGTCACAAGATGAAATTCCTAAAAGGAATTTCTCTTTCAACTATAAACTGTGACTACAGTATGAACTGTAATGATACAGTATAATTGAAAATAAGCTCATAAACTACCTTTTTACACCTTCCTCCTCTTCTCTCTCGCCCAATAATCCATATGAAAGGCTTCAAAGGATCAGTGTGCTGGGCTTATCAGTAGGTGTCACGCTATCTTAAAGGCTTTTTAGCCAAAGGAAGGCAGAACAGAAGAGCTAATATCAGAAGAATTCTGCTCGGTAGATTTCAGCAAGAAGAAGGAAGATTTCATCGGTGAAGTGTTCAGGGCAGGAAAACCCTGGTGCTCAGAAATGGGTCCTGGCCCTGCGTTGGCTGGTGTTGGGGAGCAACTGCAGCGCTTCTTGGACACACGCACCTGCCTCGCAATTTCCATTTCCCCCAACATCCCAGTCAAGAGGTAGATAGATGCACACTGCCTTCCCATGGCACAATTCGGGTGACCAGCACTTGTTCAGTGTTAGAGGACTGAAATTTGCTACTATCAGTCACTTAGATTGTGAAATCAGATTAAAACCCTACAATCAGGTGAATAATCTTGTGCTTACGAGTGTATCCAAAAATAACAGAAGGCACGTGCCTTTCAACAGTAATTAGGAACATTACTGATATTTTACCCTGGTTGGCCCCAGTAAGTGTGTATTTAAAAATAACTAACAGTCCAAAGGAAAATACCCTGAAAAGCAAAAGAAGTGTATTCTTAGTCGCTATGAAACAGGCACTGAGGTGGGTGCTCAACCAAGGAACTGAAGGAAACTTGTCTGGTTCTTTTCCTTCAGCTGTAAAAACCCTCTAACCTTTGCGTCTGTGATATAGATTGTGTGATACTGCTATAGCCAGAAGTTCCAGCAGGACCCAGGGAGCAAATTGTTGTAGGAGAATGCACTCAGATGTCTATAGCCACCTAGTAATTGCACAGCTTCTTTTATGAAGAGGAATGAGAGGTATGATGGGGGAGGGACCCTGAAGGTTTTTTCAGAGTGGGCTTTCTTCTCCTCTCATCGGAAATTAAAATGAAGATTGCCATTGTAACACACATTTAAGATGTAGCTGTGATGCCTGTCAATCAGTTGGATTCCTGGGAGGGAGGGGGAAAAAAACTAGTTTTTTTCATTTTAAGAAAATAAGACAGTAGTTTATATTGAATCCCTTTAGCATCACTGAGGTTTACTGTGACTGAACTAACATAATTTATAGGTCCAGGTAGGACCCACTTTTGTTTTTTAAAAAACTAGATTATAGTCTCTTATTTAATCATCTCTCTTCTACTGTCTGTCCACTCTCCCCTCTCTGTTTCTATTCAAAAATTGTGTGGAACAAATAAAAGCACCTTGGAAAAGATGTTATACCACCTGCCCAGAGTGCAAAGACACATGGAAATAGCCATAACCAAAATTACAACGTAAGAGATAAAGACACTGACTTATCCTTGTCCTCAGCATCTGCATGGCTTACCTATTTTTGTACTGTCAATTACAAAAATTAAATTTCAATGGAAGCTTCCATCTGTTTGTCACAGTGACATTCTGGCCTAAGTGAAGATATCTTAGAATTCTAGGGCAGTAATTAAAAATGTTTCAAAAAATGTGTACAGACACAAATGCCCACGAAGATGGTGACTAAAAAGGCTCATGTTAAACTAAACTTACAGTCTGTTGGAAATTATAGTTTGAAAGCTAAAAATCTTGGATTTGTTAGGAATTGCAATAATAGTCCTGTGAATTCCAATTCATTGTTATAGGTAACATTAAGGATATTGTGCCCTGTGTCCACATAAAAATATATATCTAGCCAGGCATAGCAGCATATGCCTGTAATCTCAGCAGTCTGGAAGACTGAGGCAGGAAGATCACAAATTTGAGCCCAATTTGAGCAACTTAACAAGACTATTGCAAAAAAATTTTTTTTTACATTAAAAAGGGGTGGGGATGTAGCTGAGTGCAAAGGTCCTGGGTTTGATCCCCAATACTCCCCCCAACCCAAATTCAGCCTTGTGGGTTAAGATTTTAGAGTTGATTCTATGTGGTAAATTTCCTTTATAAGGGATACATAGAACCCAAAACATTTTCATGTAAAAATATCTAGTGAAGTGTTAGGAATTAGGAATGATAATACTAGCTTCTCTTAAGCATAATAGTGATTAAAAAATATTCTTTATGAATTTTATTAGTGGGAGAGGTCTTGAGTAGAACTCTGAGATTCTCATAAAACGTGGAATATTTCAAGAAAATTGACAAAACAGACTTGATCATTTTTTGTGAGCGTGTGTGCAAAATGTATAACATTTTAAAATAGAGCAGAATAAAGGACACCATAACGGAAAGCCATATTTCTAGATTGTAATTTTCTTCTGTTTAGCTTCCAAATCAGTAGGAATTTGCACAGTAATTTATCCATACAACCACAAAATCCAGGTAAGCTTTTATGACCTACATTATGTGCACATATAGTTATGTATATTAATTTATATTTATGTGTATGCGTATTCATTTCTTGTCCAAAATGACCTTGTTTGAAAGCTACGCTAAAGTAAATGACTTACACTATTATGTTAGATACGTACCTTCCTTTTTCATATATCTAAAGGGAGTTGTTACTAGCATCAGCGAAAATTTAAATTATTCCAGGATAAAGGAAACACTCACACTATCGTCTGACTCTAAAGAGAACTGATACTTTTTTCTTTTATTTTAAAGTGACTTAATTTTTATCTAGTATGGGTTAAAATTTCATCTAATTTACTTAAATGTCTTTTGGTCACTTTTAAAGCCACATAACTCATCAGAATGGTTTCCAAGTCTGCCCACATTTTGTGGGACATGGAATAGGATCATACTTTCACGGACATCCAGAAATTTGGCATCATGGTAAGAAAGTGAATTTGGAAGCTGTTTATTGAATAGAATCAGGACAAAGCAGTTTTGCTTCTGAGGAGTTTTTCCTCTTGCTTTGAATCCGTGTGTGTGTATGTGTAATATCTATTAATTTTAACCAGCACATTGCTATGTTGGTAGATTACAGCCTCACAGTTCTAATCCCCAAATAAGGCTTTTCCTGCTGTTTGTCTTCTAAACGGTCCATGGCTAGAAGGCATAAGGGATATTTGTCTAGAAAAAGTTACTGAAAACAGAAGGCCACTACAGCAGGGTCCCAGCAGCACGCACATATGACTGTTTTCTGTTTTTCTTTTTCTACCCTTCTTCTAACCGCTGACTGTTGTGGTTAAACTTCATTACGTCCTACACAGCGTTGACAGCTGATGTATTTAGCACATGTACTCTTTAGCGATGTCTCGATTATGCCCACCCTTGTGTTCCTTCCCCAGAGTTTGTGTTTTTCCTCTGCCTGGGAGTGCATTCTGCAGGGAAAAGGCAGGAGTGGGCCCAGAGGGTTGGGAGGAGTTGGGTGAAGGTGGGAAACAGCTGTGTGGAGGAGCCGCAGGGCGATGGGACATTTGGACTGGGACCAAAGGAAAGTTGGCCCTAGGACCCTGACCTGAATACTTCAGAGTAAGAGCGAGCCCTACGGGAACCGCTGCCTTTAACTACTGCTGGAGGATCCCTAGGGACCCAGCTGGACAGAATCCCTTCAGACCAAAGAGCTCTGCTTCAGGCAGCTTAGAAGAGATCTAAGGTAAGAATGCAGAAAGGGATGGTCAGCCAGGCATATGTCCCATTGAATGCCCATCCCTGGAGTTGAGGATGAAGAGACCCCCATCTCCTGGCCCAACCTCCATGTCTGCACACTGTCTTCTCTTTCCATCCTTGCCGAAGATGTCTTTCTCTTTGAGATAGGGATGGAAGGAAGGCCCAGGACCCAGTGAGACCCGGAGACCTATCAGCAGGTGGCCTGGGGGACGTAAAAAGGGGAAGAGGGAACCTACAGGTGTCTAATACACCTAGTTGCCCCTACCACACTTGGGGAAATTGTAGGGAACAAGGTCTTGAGCCAGAGCGCAGAAGCTGCAAGTGCTGAAGCCCAGGAGCCCCACGTTTGACCCTGGGGGTCATCCAGGAATCTAGAAGCCTCCAGGTTCCCTTCTTCCTGAAAGAAAATGACCATTTTCCAAGTGTCCCCAACTCCCCTAAATCTGTTCCTCTCTGTTCTCTTTTCATATTCTCAGCCCACCTCCCCATTTTTTGTTTTGCAGCAAATGACAGTGATCTGCTCATGGAGGAGGGCATGGCCTTCACCATAGGTAAAGCTGGGGCTCTTCTTTGAGAGCTGCGGCTCATGGGTGGGAACTGTGGCGCTGGCCTAGGCCAGCAGTCCCTTGAAGGACTAATAAAGCCAATCAGCATAATGAAATAATTCAGATGCATAGTAAATCTGATTAAATAATATCCTTGAGCCCCATCTTCCCAAATCAGATACTTACCGACACATTTAGGGGACGGCAGCCATCCAACCTCTAATTCTGTTACCAGCCTAATGTGGTGTTTGGTTTTATTTTTCTGTTGTGTTTTGTTTTTTCATTAACACCCAGTAACTAGAGGTGATTATGTCCCTTGTTCCCTGTCAGCAAGTGGCGTGTGCTCTCTGGCGGCCCATTCCTGGCTGATCCTGTGATTGGTGTCACCAAGTCCCAGTCACCTAGGGCCACGAAGGCCTCCTATTTGTGACTGTGGGACTTAATGGAGAAGCAATTAGAGTGAAATAAGAAAATTGTTATTTGCTGATTAATGAACATTTTAAGCATGTTTTTAAAATTCAAATATTTTTAAAAACTGACTGGTATTTATAAGAAGAATTGGTGTTTGGATGGTTATTATCCACAGGGTCCTAATTAAGGCTTGATTAAAATGCCCTTCTTTCTCTAAAAAATTATGAACTAGGCAACTTGATACACTTTTTAGTGCCGTGGTGCTTCCTCTTCCTACTGTTTAGTTTGTAGTGTACTATGTAAGCAACATCAATTATCAGCCCTTGCAGGATGACAACAGGAACCCATGGGTGAAGGACTTGGGGGGCTCTCTCTCTCTCTCTCATCAGCTGAAACAGTGTTTGACAAGAATCTCATGAGGTCACTGCCGTAAATATTTTCTCTTTTACAGAGCCAATCATCACCGAGGGATCTCCTGAATTTAAAGTCCTGGAGGATGCATGGACTGTGGTCTCCCTGGACAACCAAAGGTGTTTGCTTTGGGCCCTGTTCCTTTTAAGGCACTGGGGAAGGGGAGATTGGTGGGACGGAGCGGAGCGGAGCCGGAGCTGGGAGCTACCGCCTGGGCCGCCCGCTGGGGCGCTGGCTTGCAAGCTGACTGGCTCTACCGCGCATGTTTGCAGGTCGGCCCAGTTTGAACACACAGTTCTCATCACGGCGCAGGGCGCGAAGATCCTAACCAAGCTGCCTCACGAAGCCTGAGAAGTGGCCCCAAGGTCGTGGAGGCCTGGCACCGTTATTCTCAATTGCTGGAGCACTTTCAGATGAAAGGGGAAGGGCAGGTCCTGAAGGGACCTACCTGCCATCTAATAGCGTGCAAGAAAAAGTGCGGTGGCCCTGAGGCACTGGAAAGGCAGAGCCCAAGCCGAGGGGATCCAGCTGCTCTGAAGGACGGATCCTTGCCCAGGGTCCCCGCCCAGAACGAATCGCCGCTGAAGAGGAAGGAAGCTGGACGGTCCCCAGGGATAAGTGGGACTCCCCCGGAGAAGCACAGTTCCCCTGTCTGTCCTTTGCTCAGACCCTGCCCCAGTAAAAACCCGCTAAACCCTCTGTGTCTTCGTTCTTGCCTCCGACAGTTAGGAGGGGGCGAGGAGAGGTGGTTAATTCTGAGTCTGAAGTTTTTTACACTGCAGACTGAAAGAAAAACTCGAACCTGATAGCTGGAGTATTTTGAAAATCTGTTTTACCCATTGCCGTCCCACGTTGGCCAGTCCTGGGGGCCCCTCCAGGCACCAGCTTCCACCCCAGCCCTTCATTTGATTATTTCTTCTTCGGAGGCTTTGACTTGAGAGTAACCCACAAATGAACGGCAGCGTTGATTACAAACATTTTCTTGGGTGTGCACCCTGGGCATGGCCCTTCTGCAAGGTTTTTCAGTCTAGTAACAAGACTTCCCAGTCTCCTGTGGCTCATCCTCTGCTGGCAAGCACCCCTCCTGGGCCCTCCCAGAGATTCGGTGTGAGACCTTCCCACCTCTCTCCTGCCACCCCTGCCCCCACTCCAGTCCGCACACTGGACTGTTTGTTACACTAGAAATTCAAGCTGCGGCCTGCCTCACCCAGATGTGAACAGCATCTGGCCAGTTAACTGGCCTGCCTAATCCTAAACTGACCTCACACGCTGGCCCTTTTGGGACTCCCTCCCTGGGGCTTCCGGGACTTTAAAGGTCAGGTATTGAGAGGGATAGGATCCTAGAGGTGTGTGTAGGACAGTGGCCTGGCTGGTGCAGCCCAGGCTGGAGCTGGCAGCTTTCCCTCTGGTGCTAATGGCTGATGCTCCAACCCACTTCAGGAGCAGAAATTCAGCAAGGCCACACTGTTTCCCTAGGCACATTCTGGCACAAAAGAGCCCTCCCCTTGAGGTTGCTTTCACCACTAACTGAAGGGTAGGAATTGGCTGGGCCTCTGTTCCGTGAAGGAAGCTAGTCCCTCTGCTTATGGTTTTAGGAACAAGTTCAGTGACAATGCAAAGTGGGCTTTGCAAAGTTGCCCCTGGCTAAGTACAATTTGGGCTCAAAAGTGCCAAGGGAATGTCAGCTGGATCCAGGAGCTGACCATCTTGTGACACCCAGGGTGGTGAGAAAGGAGCCGGAAACTGAGGACAATAAGCGGGCTTGCACCTGAGTTCCACTGTTGCCCTCAGCTAGGGACTCTCTCAGTGGTCCCTAGCCCTCCAGATCAGATTCTCTGCATCCAAGGACATGGAGTTTTAGATAGACTGGGTCTGGCTTTAGTGGGTCCAGAGGGCTGGAAAAGGTGAGGAAGCGGTTTCAGTAACTATAGTTTAGAAGAACATAGATGAACTTTTGAGGTGCTCCGGAGTTGGCCAGGCAAGGCCCAGAGCCCGAGGCTGTTGCCCCCAAATAACCCCCTAGAGAGGAACAGCGCCCAGTTGGCCTTGTGAGATCTTTGCCAGAGAATGACTTCATTTCTCTCCTAGAGCAATCACATTGCAGTGATTAGCACAGTAGCTTTATCTGTAGATGAGTTTTCTCCAGGGTTCCTTAGGGATAGTTTTATTAGGATCACAGGATTTTACCAACCACTGGGGCAACACACTGCTTGTGCAGCAATTATTTTGAGGTGGAGGTATTTATGGGACAGGCACATAATCCTATTTATTAAAGTGACTAACCTAAAGATTATATTCTCCATCCAGTACTCAGCAGTAGGAAACAAACTTGAATTACAACTCTGTTTAACTCATTATGATTATGGAACTTGAAGTTAGGAAGTAGGTTTTTAACGCACCTAGTCTACGCGTTCTTGCCCCTCTGCTAACTCATCTGACCTCCAACCTAACCCATAGATGCAAAGCTTCCAGCCACCTATGGCTAAGCTCCCGCCACCAGTGTTGCCTGGTCCTAAGATGATTCCACTCCATTCTAATCCTGAACGTTCAGAACGAGTACAATTTTGTTTCCTCTGAGTTGGGACAAGCAAAGATCTAAGCAAACCCGGACTTTACAACAGGTGCTGACATGGAGGTGGGGCGGTGGGGACGGGGGAGCCATTCATACTCGCTTAGTAGAGATCCCAACAGTGAGAAGCTCGCTTCCGCGGCTACACAGCGCTGGAGGGACCGGCTCAGCACGTCTCAGTAAATTTGCTTCTTTCTAAGAAATGTCTGCAGCATAGGCACTCCTTTGCCTACACACAATTCAATCCTAAATTAAGCAAGCCCCTGAAACCTTATCCCGAGGAAGTGCGTGCCAGACCTTTGTTTTCTAAGCCAGCCGGGTCCCCTGCACCGCGAAAATGCCCCCTCAACCCATGTGGAAGGACGAGCACCCAGGAGCCTCGCGACGTGCGACCGTCTCTCATCCCTTCCCCCACTTTGCAATCCTCTGGGAGAAACTGGCCCTTGGCAGCCGGGCCGTCGAATCCCCTCACGCCCTGCCCAGAGCTACCCGAGACGCCTGTGCCACCTTCCCCGGTCCCAACCTCTACCCCGCGCCGGCCGCAGCGGTCACTTACGTGGGCAGGGCCCGCAAGGCGCTCGCAACAGACCCGGGGCTTGGGCAGCTTCCTAGCAGCTGTGCTGGGCGCACAGGACGGCACTCCACACCCCAAAATAGGCGCTAGAAAGGAGCAATTAAAACCACAAGTGCGACAGAAATCAAGACGAGCCTAACGTCTCCAGGAGTTGTCTAGTGGCAGAATCATTACCTGGTTGTTGCTACAAAGCCTCACCGTGTGGTTCGGTGATTAAGAAAAAAAAAAAAATCTTTTAACCATTGGCAAAAACGTTATTGGTTTGGAAGATCGGGTTGTTGGGGGTGTTGTTGCTTTTTGTTTTTCTCTTTGGCTCCAACCAGGCTGCCTGAAATATTTCTGCTCCCAGCATCGCGCCCTTAAAACCAAAGGAGAGAAATTCCACCGAGCAGGCGCTGCTGCTACAGAAGTTTAGAGAGAACCCCCTCTAATATCTGTAACGACAGCACCGATGTAATTTGTTTTGAATGTTCATTTTTATTGGTGTTCCCTCTGCCAAAATGTGCTTGATTACAGAGGTTTGTCCTGCGATCACTGCACGCTCCAGACAGGGGAAGGTGCAGCGCGAAGGTTCAGCTCAGGCCAGATCAAATCCCGGGCTGTTTAACGCTGAAAGGCTGCATGTTGCTATTAGTGTTAAATATATGGCTAATTATGCGTATGAAAATTAAACATCAGTGTTATGCTAATGGGGCGCCTTCAGCTGCGGATCTGAGCACTTGAGACTACCATTTAATCAAATGAATCAGTAACTAATACATCTGCACGTGTGAACTTTCACAAGATCATTTCCCCGTTCCCTTTACACCGCTAAATTATGAAAGAAATAATTATCAACACTTTCTAATTACCTAACAAAGTAATTTGGGATTCACCGTGGGGCTGGCGGGATGGGGAACCAACAGCCCCTAGCAACCAGCGTAGCGTGCGCCACGCCTCGTGGGGGTCGCTGTGTGGTAGCAGTGGCAGGCGAGGGCCATTCGTGCGCTCTTCTGTACCTAGCACCCCAGAAGATAGAAGGCGCCGTGGCAGCTCTGTCCTGCACCAGCCCTGCCCCCAGGCCCACCGGAGCCAGCTTTGGCCACTGGAGGTGAGGAAGAAACTTGGCCACTGGAGGTGAGGAAGAAACTGGGCGACAGAGACGTGTCTATACACAGATAGTCTTGCCTACCGCAGGCCTGGCGCTGCTGCGGGTTTCGGTGTCCCCCAAGGGCTGCTGAACCCAGGTACTCCCGCGAGACCCCAGGAGGGCGCAAAATGACCACCTGGCGCTGCCGCTCTGATAGTGCTGAGCCCGCCGAGCCCTCGACTCCACGCTGCGCCGCGCCCTCGGGGGAGTGCGCCCGGGGCGCACGGCTCGGAGGGAGTGGAGAGGGGAGGGGGAGCGCACGAAGGTTGGGAGGGAAAGAGGGTGTGTGTGTTGGGGGAGGGAGGCGGTGCGGCCGCCTTTCCTGGGAGGAGAAGCGCGGGCTCCTGGCTCTCCACGCGCACTGCTCTAATCAGACCCGTGCAGCCTCGAGCTGGAGTGGCCAACCCGGCCTAGAGCGATGCGAGCGGGGCCCTGGGAGCGGCGGCGGCGGCGGCGGCGCGGCGGCCGAGTGAGTGAGTTGGTCCGGAGGGCCCCCGAAACCCCTGCCCAGGGATGTGGCACCGCAGACCCGGGCCAGGAGGGCGCGGCCAGGAGGGCGCTGAGCTAGGCGCCGAACCTTCCGAAGGACCACTGTCCGCTGGCTGCCTTGGGCGCCCCCCAGTGCGTGACTCCGCCAACCAGAGGCCGCGACCAGAACCATCCTAGCTCAGCTCAGCACTGGCTTGGGTGGAGGCGACCAGAAGCAGTTCCCGGGTTCCCGGCTTTGGGGAGGGCAAAGGGTGGGGTCGGCAGAGGGGGGCGATGGCGGGGAGCACTAGTTGGTTTCTGGGGGGAGAGCAAGCCAGGGAGGCGGGAGGCTGAAGAGCAGGCCTCAGAGGTCCCAGCGCGGACACCGCAGCCCATTGTGCCTCCTGCACCTCGCGCTCTGTTGCAGAGGAGCCCCGGCCGGGAAGTACCGACGCGTTTCTCCCGAGGCCGGGCCGCCTCGCCCGCTCTAGTCCAGCGGAGCCGAAGCGTCTCGGACCAATCCCCGGTGATTATGCAAGACGGCGGACCAATCAGCTCCGCCAGCTCATGAATATTTATGACCTTGGCTGAGTCAAAGCTTTGAACCGAGTTTGGGGAGCTCGGAGCATGATGCTTAGACTTTTCAAAGAGACAAACTCCATTTTCTTATGAATGGAAAGTGAAAACCCCAGTTCCGCTTAAATTGGGTTCCTTCCTGTCCTGAGAAACATAGAGACCCCCAAAAGGGAAGCAGAGGAGAGAAAGACCCACACCCAGACCCCGCGAGAAGAGATGACCATGACCACCATGCCAGAAAGTCTCAACAGCCCCGTGTCGGGCAAGGCGGTGTTTATGGAGTTTGGGCCGCCCAGCCAGCAAATGTCTCCTTCTCCCATGTCCCACGGGCACTACTCCATGCACTGTTTACACTCGGCGGGCCACACGCAGCCCGACGGTGCCTACAGCTCGGCCTCGTCCTTCTCCCGACCACTGGGCTACCCCTACGTCAACTCGGTCAGCAGCCACGCGTCCAGCCCCTACATCAGTTCGGTGCAGTCCTACCCCGGCAGCGCCAGCCTCGCCCAGAGCCGCCTGGAGGACCCAGGTACGTGCGCTTGCCAGGGAGAGGAAGCGAAGGAAAGAAGGCGCGAGGGGGAGCAGGAGGGAGAGAGAGGGAAGACAGAGGAGAAGAGGGGCAGAGAGGTGGGGTGGGGGTGGGGAGGGCGCGGGAGCAGTGGAGGTTTCGGATATCAACCTATGGATACCTGTCCTAGCAAAGATTGTTAGAAATCCACCCAGTTCGCAACTATCTAGCAAAGGATAAATCCGAGAGAGCGTCTCCTGGCGCTGGCTGGGCCTCTGAGCGGCTCGGTGTGCCGAGCACACAATGCCCTGCTGGAAAAAAGAAACCCACATGTGCACGTATTAGTCTCGGCAATTATTTATTGCGTAGCGCTATAAACAATGTATGCAATTAAGGGTAATTAAACCTCAACTACCGCCTGCAAAAATAGCAAACTTTCCCTGCAAAGGCAATAGCTGCGCTCCCAGGAACGGCCCCATCCCGCCTGCAGCAGCCTGGGACTGGCCCTCGGACTTGGGGTCGGGGGAGCCCTCCCAGGCTTCCGAAGTTTCTCGAACGCTCTGTCCCGGGCCCTGTCTCTGCCATCCCCTCGATTGCCGCTCGCTCTCTTCTCTCCACACTAAAGGCAGCCCCTGTATTAACAACGGCCCCACTTCTGCTGTCCCTGCAGGGGCCGACTCCGAGAAGAGCACGGTGGTGGAAGGCGGTGAAGTGCGCTTCAATGGCAAAGGAAAAAAAATCCGCAAACCCAGGACAATTTACTCCAGTTTGCAGTTGCAGGCTTTGAACCGGAGGTTCCAGCAAACTCAATACTTGGCTCTGCCTGAGAGGGCGGAGCTGGCGGCCTCCTTGGGACTCACGCAGACTCAGGTACCTCGCCGCTGCCTCTGCGCCAAGCAGGCTTCTCGCGGCCCGGCCTGAGCCTTGGGCTTCATTTCTGGCTTGCTGGGCCTCAGGGTCGGGGTGTCATTGTGTGGGTATGTGGGTGTCCACCCCAGGCTCCTGGCGTCTCCTCTTCCTCTCGCACTCTCTCTGCCCCAGCTCAGTCGCTGCTCTCTGTACCCCGACCTGCTTGCCAGGCAACTGCTCCGCCGCCCTGTCCCTGGACATCTGGTTGGGGCGCAGAAAGGATTTCCCCCAGAGGTTTTGTTTGGGGATTCAGAGGTCACACGTGCCCGAGCGACTGGAACAATAGACGCGGGACTTAATCCCTCCTTTGCCTTTAAAGTGTGTGGCTACTCTCTGGGGGCCTGGGCCCGTGCCCCTGTCTCCCTCCTCCTCCTCCTCCTCCTCCTCACCGAGAGGCACAGGAATCCCTCCCTCACCCTCCTCACCTCCCAAGCCCCAGACCCTAGAGAAGAACCGAGACTTCTGCTTGGCCATCACTCAGACTCTGGGGAGCTCCGGGCCTTCGGACCGCGGCTGGCGCGGGTTTCCAACGCCTGGCCCGGGATTTGAACTGCACCCGAGGAAAGCAAACAGGCCCTAGGGAAAGGTCTGGTTTGAGTCCAGAGTTCTACAAAGAACTTGCTGCCTCCTTAGTCAGACCTCAACTCAGGGGCGGAAAGGATGGCGCAAAGAGAAAGCGGTAGAATTGCAAATAAATTTCCTCCACTCCTATCCAGTTTTTTGATTCTTTTATTGATATTGATATAGGAATTGCATGGGGGGGTGTGCAGGCACTCTCTCCCGCCGACGGTAGTCGGGGTCGGACTGAGCGCGCAGGCGAAGCCCGGGACTCCCCGCAGGCCCCTCACCACCACGCCCCCTGGCTCCGGGAGAGCATTTCCCCCGGGCGCCCAGGGCGAGCGTCCGGCTTCCAGGCTCTTCCGCCCGCGGGTGGGGGGTGCGCCGCTGCTTCAGCGGGGAGCTGCCCACGCGCTGGGCAGAGCGGCCTCCAAGCTCTGCTCTCCCACCATCCCCTCCTTCCCTTCCCGAGAACTAGGTGGGCTCAGTGGTCTCAGCCCGAGTCACATTGTTTTCCGATCTTGCAGGTCAAGATCTGGTTCCAGAACAAGCGCTCCAAGTTCAAGAAGCTGATGAAGCAGGGCGGAGCGGCCCTGGAGGGCAGCGCGCTGGCCAATGGCAGGGCGCTGTCCGCCGGCTCCCCACCCGTGCCTCCGGGCTGGAACCCTAACTCTTCAACCGGGAAAGGCTCAGGCAGCAGCGCGGGCTCCTACATCCCCAGCTACACGTCGTGGTATCCTTCAGCGCACCAAGAAGCTATGCAGCAGCCCCAACTTATGTGAAGTTGCCCGCTGGCACCTGCCCGCCTCCTTCCCATCTCCCTCCGCCCAGGCCCCTCCTGTCTCCAGGTCCCTGGATCCCGACTGTGTGCCCTGGGCCTGGTGAAAAAGGGCCCAGAGGGAAGGAAGGGACAGTGAAAAGGCAGGTCACTTGCCTCCTCAGAAGCCCTCGAGGTCCGACCCAGCAACTCCCCAGAGCCGGTGCTCTTGCCCGAACCCTGGCCTGAGCCACTCGGGGTGACAGCAGAGTGGCCTTGAAGTGCAGGCATAGTCACCCAAGACAGCGAGCAGCAAGACAACCCGGCTCACCTGACCTGCCGCCCGCCCCTCAGCTTTGTGGGACTATCAGGAAAACAAACAATGTAGAAAAAGCAAAAGCTCTTTTCTGTCCTGTCTCGTCTCCTTTTGCGCTAAGTCGAGGTCTTCGTCTGTCTGCTGTTCTCATCCTGAGGCCTCTGCAAAAAGTCACCATGTCTGAGCCACAAGCGGTCTGCTGGGCCGCCCATCTCCCAATCCTGGACGTTTTATCCTTTCAGGCCTCCTGGACCCTGTCTGACCATCTGTGTAGCCTATTCGGGAACTGGGGGAAATTGGAGGGAGGGGGTTTTATTTATTGAAAAATGGACTTTGGCTGAGGTTGGTTCTGTGGTGTGCGGAGAGCACACCGTCCAGACGCACTGTTTACCTTGAAGGCACCCGGAAAAAACGAACAAGGAGGACTAAACATTTTTACCTTACACATTAACTTTTGTACTTCACTGGTATGGAGTTGTTGAAGCCCAATGAGTTGCATTTTTTTACATGTCCCATATTATTAGAAATAATAACAAGAGAGAGACATGAAGCCAACGCGGTTTTGTCATCTTGAAAGGAAAGTTTGGTTGCTTTGCCTGGCCAAGAAGGAATAATTCTAGTCTGGGTAAAAAGAGAGAGGATCCATGCGAAGCAGAGAGAAAACAGGCAGGGGACAAGCAAGCAGCCCCAATTCCAGTGGGCTTTAAAGTAAGACAAAAGCAGCTTTACAACTATCCCGGAGGTTCTACCACAGAAAAATGCCAGTCCACCCTGAAAGCACAGTCTCCATTGCAGGAGCTATTGGCTGTATATATAATTATTATTGTTATTATTATTGTTCTGTAAACATGTTGCACAAGCTTAGCCTTTTTCCGTTCTGTTGTGTGTGGCGGTAAAACCCGATGCTTTGTGAAATAAGAATCTTGACATTTTACTTGTGAAATTTGGAAAATGTGACCAATTGAAATCAACTGTGTTTTGTGTTCTCTATGTCAAAGTTTAGTTTTATATTGAGAATGTTAACTTATTGCTTTGTATCTTGGGGGGGAAAGAACTTTGTAAATAAGTTATAAAGTTTCTTTGAGACAGTAAAATTATGGTTTCAAGAAAGAATTACTGTCTCTTGTGCTATATGTGTGTGGGGAGGGTGGAAGGCCAGACTCCCACTTCTGGTAAGGTAGCATTGGATCGGCTACCGATCTGGGACAGATTAGGGGTGTCCAACTCCACCACCAGGACACCATTGCAAGGCTTGTGTCGTGCCCCGGTGGGACTTTTCACCTTGTTCCCTCAGTCAGGGAGATGTCTGATATCTACCTGAGTGGAAGGGATAAGGAGACAGTGCCCAGAGAGTTAGGGAAGGCGGCTCAGGAACAGGTGCGGCAGGGCAGCACCCGGGCTTAGACATGGGAACGACAGTGAGGATCCGCTGAGAGAAGAAAGCAGAGTTCAAAGGCAGCCAGCCTGGGTGACTGGAGTTCTCTCCACACCCAGCATCTCTCAGGAAGCCTGGAAGCAGAGACACCCTGCTTTGCCCTTAGCCTATCCCCAGATTTGGCCTCCCAGCTTTTGCTTGCCCGGAGGCACTGGATTCCTGGGCAGAAAAGACAAGGCTAGACGCCTGGTTGGGGCCGGAAGGACACGTCTGTCAGTCCACCTTCCCCCAATCAATCAAAGAGCTCCCTGGGACAGGACACAGCCTCAGGGAGCCCCCAGCCCCTCCACAGCACACACACACAAAAATAGCCCGCTCCCACAAAAGATCAGGGAATTTTCTTTCCACATCTGAGAAAGGGGGTTGCCAAAGGAGTGGCGGAGGGGTCGACTGACTTGTTGGAACCGGAAGCCGGATTTAAGCACATCTCTTCCTCAGCCCTGCTGTCCTGAAGCAAGACCACTACGGGGGCATCTCGGTTACAGCGCTGGGATGCAGTTCGCTCCAGAAAAGTGCGGGCTCTAAGAGACTACAATTACACCAACTCTTCTTTCTGCCAGTAACATGCGCCCCGGCCGAACCCCAACACCAGACCCCAATCCCAGACCCCAGACCCAGACTCGGAGCCAAGACGGCTGCGGAAAGCTGCGGGAAGCCAGAGGCAGCTTCGAGTCCTGCTTCCCGCGCGCCGCCTTCCGACGATGCTCCTGGGCGGGGGCTGGCCCTCCGCCTTTGGGGGGCCCTTTCCGGCGCGCGGTGGGGAGCACAGCCGGGAAGGCAGTGATCTGTGTTGTGACAAGCACCCATTTTTCAATTGGTGCTGGTGAAAGATCAGATGCGCCGGGCTTTTTCGACGCCCTTTGGGAAGGGGAGGGGGAAGTGGCGGGCTGTACGTGTATGCGCGCGTGCACGTGTGTGTGCGTGCGCGGGTGCGCGCGGGGGTGGGTGGGTGCGGTGTACTGGAAGAAGCGGGAGATGGTGCAGGATGAAGCCAGGGACCTCAGTGCCCCTGTGGAGCTTGGAGCTGCGAGTTTTTCTTCTCTTAGGGCCTGAGGAACCACGAGTGCTAAAGCAGATCAGACCTCGGAAAGCAGTGTGCAAGTGGGCCAACTGCCTCAAAACAGAGAGGGAGGGCTGGGGATGTAGCTCAGCGGCACAGTGCCTGCCTGGCAAGTGCGAGGTCCTGAGTTCGATTCCCAGTACAAAACCAAAACAAAACAAAAAACAGAGAGGGAGTCAGAGTCAGTTTCTGAGGTTAGGCTTAGGAGCGCGAACAGAGACCTTCTTGGATTCGGTTTCTCCTGGTATTTTTGATTTCGTTAGGGAGATTTTTCTCACCGTCTTTCTTGGGCCTCCCAGAGGATTGCTAGGGCCCGAAGGCTCAAGCCACAGGCAAAATCTGTCTGGTCAAGCCGATGCTAATACTTTGAGATATTAGCTTATACTAATTTAATAATCTCTTGCTAACAGTTCAAATAGAGAAATTATTAGTTTTAGCTCAAGGAAGGCGGTCTTTAGTTAGGCTCTATTATAATTATAAGCAGTTGTACTTTTAAAAAATGTTAATCTCAATGCAGGCCTAATTAATGCTGCCTTGTTACTGACAAGTAGTTCATCAAATATCTGATTCAAAGATTTTCATAATGAGTATATTAATTAAACTATGAATAATCTAAAGGTGGTTATATTTAAACAATACCTCATTATAATGATTAAATACTGATTTCGAATATTATGTCTTAACAATTGTCACTTAGAAAACACAACCTTTCCTTATGTATGAGTCTGTAATGGCAAAATGCAATTTTGGGATTTTTTCCCCTTGTTCAAAAAATGTGAACCTCATTTTAAAACACTTCTGAAATAGGTTACACACAGCTTAATGATTATCAAAATGACTCTTTTCTGCAAAAAAAGACCCCAAAGTGGGTGTACAGCTGCAAACCCAAGAGGGTCAGCATCATTTCACTGTATTCTCTTCTTGATTACAAGCCGGGCCCATCAAACACAACATAATTACAGTAATTTCAGGTTTATTTATTCTAATGCAGTTTCCCCATCTCTCTGGTAATTATGAGCAATTTTTTCGCCCAGGGAATCTTTTTGCATTAACAAAAGAGATAACGCACTGAAAGCCAAATTTGCTGTGCATTGAGAAAAGGAAAAAAAAAATCAAATAGGTGCGAGCTGCCATCTCTGCAATTCTCCGGTACCAGAGCCGGCAAATTGCTTGCAGGTGTATGGAGCAAGCTTGTCAATGGCCGGGCCTCCAAATTAGCAAATGCACAGCGGCAAAGTAATGAAGACAGACTTAGCAAAATTGCCAAACAACAGATACCTCTTTAATATCTTCTCTCACACACACTAGCTCTAAAAAGAGGTGGGGGTGAAGTGGGGAGGGGCACAATCGGTAATCCCCAGCCCCCTCCTCATGGGTCTTGGCTTTCTGAAGCCTGGACGGGCTGCAGGGCTCTTTGAGGGAAGAAGTCTAACAGTGGAAGAACCCAGATCCTAAACCTAGGCAATATTTTAAACATGTAAAAGTGGTAACACTTAGAGTTCATCTCTTTCCCTCCTTGATCATTATGTCTTATTTCTATTTCTGTCTTCTGGGGATGTACACCTGAGCTGGGTTAGTTCTTCAGACTTTATGAGCCGCAAAAAGTGTTAAAATCCACCTCATCTAGATGCACAAAAGTGTGAATTTATTCATACACAGTCTTTGCATGAGAAAGCAAACCTCTCTTTGAAGAAACTGTCCATTTCTATTACCCATGGAAAGGTAGGTAGGTCTAGGTGTTAGGTACAGAACCTGAGATGCTAGATCAAGAAAAATTGGGAGAAAAGAAGCAACGTCCCATAATGTTTAACCTGGTATCCATCTCTTTCTGTATCTTTTATCAATCAATTTCAGAATTGTATGGTCTTGGTCATCCCACCACCTGGGTTAAACACCTTTGAAATCTTAGGCTAAAGTAAACTTTTCTGCTCTTCATCACACAGGGCCATAGCAACCTCTATCAAACACAGTCCGGAGGGGTAGGGTTTCTCTCTCCCATGCCTCAAAATAATCCTCCTCCCGTCCTCAGCCCCACAAAAAACCCCAACGCTAGTGCAAACAGGCAAACGGCTCTAAAGGGTGCCTTCCCCAGACTCAAGAAACGGATCAACCCCACCCACCGTTTGCCTACTCCCTCCCTTATCCCCCAACCTTCAGGGATTAACACTTCCTGAAACATCAAGTGTTTTTATAAAAAAGAAAAAAAAATAATCCTGACATCGCTGACAAGAAGTTTTGATGGAAGAATTAGCTGGTGCATACATAATCACTCCCCCACCCTCCTACTCCCGGAGCGGGAGCCGCTGCGGCGGGCGCAGCGCAGCCTTCCAACCCTCTGAAAAATGAAACCGGTTTCCACCCTTACCTTCTTCAGTGTCAATTTCAGATAATCTGGACACACACTCTTTGCTACATCAAATCAAAAGGGTCGAAGGCGGCTTTTGGCTGGGAGAATGACGGAAAGAAAAGGCAAAAAAGAAAAAGAAAAAAAGAGGAAAAAAAAGGAAAACATAAAAGCGACCAAACCAGAGCAAAACAAAACTAGAAAACCAAAAAGAATTCCCCGGCCCCATCCTCCTATCCTGAGAGTAAAGAGTGGAAAGAGGTCCCCAGGACCAGGAGTCTCCGAGCGCCGCAGGCTTTTTGCAGCGCTGCGCTTGCAAATAGGACTGAAATTTTCAGCTATATAGCCTCTGTCTTTATAGCTGATGAAAAAAATTGCAGATTATTAGCATAAATGTTTACTCTTCATTACGCTGATGACATTGTGCACTCGAGATCTTGGTAATCTTTGGGAAAATTATGAGTAATTTTTAAAAATTTTAAAGCAGCAGCAGTTACCATGCAATTCAGGCTAATTCTGCGTAGGCTCCGAACGGATATAATTATCGAGGAGTCAAGATGTTATGCTAAAAACTATGCATTGATATTCCCATTTATTATGTACATACAACTTTGACAATGTTGATGCTTGAAATAGCAGGAAATTGTCTTGCGCAAAAATTACAGTCCATATTAGGACATCTGAAATTGCGAAGAATTATATAGTAATTGCAGGCTTTCAGATGGGAGAGCCAGAATGCTCAAACTAGTGCAAATGTGGATAAAATTACAGATCAGAGCAAAAATTAGGGAAAAAGGGGGTCTGGGATTTTTCAGGTTGGCTATAGGATTCCGGAAGTGTCTAATGCCACATGATTGCTGCAGCTTTAGGGGAGACATTCATGCCTCAAATAGCGCCTTGGCCAGGGTGGCTTTAATTGAATTTCTTGGGCTTTTTGTTTTAATAGGGGTAAATGAGGAAATTGGCCACCCAAGGCAAATTCTTACAGTCCTCTCAGTGAACATGTCGGGGAGAATCCCCTTCTCCTAGTGCCTGTTCTTCCATGGCTTGGACACCCGGAGGTCCCAGGCCGCTCACCCCAAATGCTGCAACTGTGAAAGTGACTAAACAGAATCCCCCTTCCTTCTGCCCCTTCCTCCTTTCCTTTTCTTTCTAGTTCTCCCTGCTTCCTTCCGTGGGCCCCTTTCGCGGATTCTCCCAAACCTCCACAGTCAGGAAGGGATGGGATGAGCCTGCGGGGCCCTGGCTGCCTGCAGTGTTGGCTCTAGGCGGTG